CTTCGAAGGGATCGAACATGGAATTCAAGATCTCCCTTCATGCCCAAGCATGCGAAGAAGAAACGTTCAGTAAATATCTCCCGAAGCTGCTTTGATAGAAGCCTGGACACATCATCCAAAAGACCAGCAGGCCACTCCTTTGTTGGGAAAGCCACTAGCAGGAATCTCGAAAGATAGCTGTTGTGCTTGGAGTTAACCCAAGGCGAAGAGCAGGAACATGGGCGTGGACAGAAACATCGTATATCCTGGATCCTTTTGCTATCCAGACCAAGCGTAGGCTCAAGCGAAATGATGTCCAGCGGTTGTTTTTTCTGGGTTCGCCCTCCATCTCCATGCAAGGCATAGGGGATCATCCACTTAAGCCGGGAGCGATCGCGAAAAACCTCGTGTGACGGTTGTTCAGCCTCAAATCGCTTCCAAAACTGTTCGAGCACAGCGTTGGCTTCTATCATCGTGTATCCACCAAGTAGAAGGTCTGGATGGTACAATAGCAAACATCTCAGATAGTCATAGGGCTTGATATACGGCAAGGAAAGTGTTTCTGCATCCTCAGTGTAAGAATGTTCGGAAACGGGCACAGGTAGTTGTAGTCCAAACCTTCGAACAGCTCGGTCAACATGCCTCGCTGCATTGTGGCTGCCACCAACCACCCCAGCAAGTTCCAATTCTGTCGCAGCCCGGCCCTTCTGCAGGATGCTGGCTTGGGCATGGTCCGTGACGGTTCGCGCTGGTGCCTTGGCTCATGAGTAGTTGGAAGGTCTGATGCTACAGGGTTTGAACCTTTATAGGGCAGTGTAAATTCATAGAAGGTTTTACCGGCCTTATAAAGTTGAAGGTCAACGAATGCACAAGGCTCTTGTATTGTTGGGGCGGGGTTGCATAGCATGGGGTCTACATCGGATGATTCAATTTCGGTAAATTTGTACATAAGTCAAAGGTTAATTCGGGCTTAGCTGATGCTAGGTATTAATTATATGGCACATCTGCTAATTTCATTGCTTGTGGGGAGGATCACCTAGTTTTCCCTTAAAAGTGATGTTGTGTTCCCATTCTCTTGTTGCAACACACCAAAACATAACGGAGAAAGCAAATACCTCGGAACCCTCCCAACTACGTATAAAGCCCTGTACATGTTCAACAGATGCGCCCTAAAAACTGAACCCTATACAAATCTTAAGCTGCAAAAGTAGCAGAACCCAGGCTGCAGGAATGCGCAGAATGGTTGCATTAACTTCACCTATATTTGCAAGCTTAATAGTCCCCTGTGGTGAGCAGGTTTGCATATGTATATACATATATACAGGGCTTCTATATCTATTTATACTATACGTATATGGGGTTCATATTTACATTGTAAGGGTTTCTATGCAAACACCTGCACACCACAGACATGCAAATCCCTCCGTTGGTACGTGTATAGAGGCTGAGTAGCACCATCCGCCACCTTTTCTAGGAGGTTGAGAAGGATCGGGGTGGGCTCAGGAGGCTCGTTCGATGTACCTCTCAAACCAACCACAAGCCATGCGGGATTCACAAGTCACCAGTAAAGTTGCACAAGATTCGCATGAACTTGTACCACAGCTTTTTAGAACAGGCATTGCTCGGCCACGCAGGTGTTCCCCGTGGATCACAAACTAATTGCTTGTGCAAGGATTTTTCCGATACACACCTAATTTAAGAAAGGTTCTCGATCAATCGAGTCGAGGCCATGTCTCTAGCAACTCACAAAGCGATGCCATTATAGCATCCTTGGAACAGCTACCTACAGAAGAATGCATGAGATTTGCAACGTAGGAAAAGCAGGACAATGCACTTGCAGGCAAGTTCAAATGTGGTTTCCTCCAGGAGTTTGTGCACTGATGTACTCAGCCTTCCAGCACATGTCCCTGCCTACGAAAATCTCCTAATTGCCAAGCACTCCTACTCAACTTTCACCTGCTTCGATTTCCTCTGCTGCTTCTTCATGAAGGAAATAACCGGAACAGTCCTGCTGCAGAGGCCAAGCGCCTGGATGCACCTGAGCGATCGACAACTGGGCAAGAATTAATATGGATGGGCTTTTGTTATATATAGGGATTGCTAGCTGGGTTTGTGTCTAGTGAGCCCTTGACTATTGATAACCCCACTGTAAGAAGGAAACCTTTGCATATGTAGACGTATATAGATAACCCCCAATTCAGAGTGAAATCGTTCCATTACTCAAGGCCTCATATACAACTAGATATAGTTTGCGGGTTTACAAATCAATTTCCCCAATTTGTGCTCAATGCGTGGAATGATTCTGAGTTACCTGCGGGCTCTGCTCCAAAAAGGGTTTGCGTGGGGGTTATATATGTACATATCATATAAGGTTTATATATGGAGTTTGGTTTATATATATATATAGGGCCCATATACATAAATATATATAAGGTCTATACATATATATATATATATACATGCAGGGTTTATAGGTTTTGAAGGGGTATATACATGAGCCACATTCTGAACTCCTTTCCTAAGGTGCATATATACATATATGAGATTATGTAATAGTGCAGGGGAGTATTACATATGTATGTTATAGAGGGTTCATTACGGGGATACTCGGAGTTGAGAATGTAGCTCACGTAGACCTAAACGGATTCTTCTTCAAGTGGTTAGCTTTGACCAGATTTGCTTCAGGAGCTCATGCTGTTGTGTAGACTGAAATCAAAACCGAGGGCAGGCCCACTCATACCCAGTACAACAAGTGCAGGAATACTTATACAACGACTCAATTAAGGAATCCCATAGAAGCCCTATATATATATATGTACGTAAGCAACATACAAACCCTCTAAACCCATAAACCGGGATCTCTCAGCACACGCCCATTCATCTCGCTTTCAAACAAATGCAAGTCCTCGTTTCTTAACTAGGTACACACATGAGCCACGTTCTGAACTCCTTATATAAAGGTATCTAGATATATATATATATAGGAGATCATGTAATAGTATAGGGGAGTATTACATATATATATATATATTCATATTTTATATAGGGTTTTTTAAGGTGACACTCGGAGTTTAGAACGCAGCTCATGTAAACCTCAACTGACTCTTTTTAGGTGGCTAGCTTCGACAAGATTTGCTTCATGTGCAGGAGCTCGTGCTGCTCTGCATGTAGAGTGAAGTCAGGAACAGTACAACAATTGCAGGAGTACCTATACACCAACTCGAGGAATCCTATACAAGCCCTGTATATGTATATGAGATACAAACCCGGTAAATCCACAAGCCAGAATCTCTCAGCACACGCCCATTCATTTCGCTTGCAAACGAAGTAAGTCCTCGTTTTCTTAATTGAAGGGTGTAGCTCAGCTTAGCTAGACTACTTGCGCTTTGGGGGTGCCAGGGCTTTGCGCACAACATAGCAGAAAAAGGGTCCTTCAGAATCATGGTTAATCCCCTCCCCGCCAAGCCGTATGTTGCGGCACCCCGGTGCATCATAAAAAATACGAATTAGTGCTGCTTCAAGCAAGCAGATCAGAGCAGGGTCTGTGTGCAAGTGGAGAATGGTCATGCTATCCCATCGAACATGTTTGTCGTGCACATAGCCATAGCGGCTGTGCTGCCATCTGACCACCGGATTGCTTGTGGCACCTATTTTGTACAACGCAGGGCATTTGGAAGCGAAACTTCGGATCGTTGATTCAGCATGCTTCAGGACATTGGAGGCGAGGCTAGAGTCAGGAAGGTCAAATGCAATCGCTCCGTCAGCGAAATTAGTTTGCTTCAGATTGGGCACAATTACCGACTTGAGCCTGTCCAACTCCTTAATCTCTTTGGACAAGTCCTCCAACCAAAACCAAGAATCTTTGCGACGAAGTCGTCTCAGCCAAGGTTTCTCTATGGCTCCGCCCGGCGATATGACTTTTACGCAAGGCACACACTGCTCAGTTGCAACATCAGGTAACTCCGAAACTGCATCCACCGAACAAGTTTGGCCTGACATGTTCTGCTTGCGCCATGCTTCAGCGAGTACATGAGGGTCCCCATCATCCCAAAGGAAGGAAGCTAGACTTCGCAATCGCTTGCTCATCCCCAAGTCACTGACCCCAGAAAAAAGAGGTGACTGCAGCCATCGCTTCCAGCTCGACATCCACAGGCGGCAACCCGTCTACACATAGATTGATTATATAGAGTTGATATATAAGGGATAACAAAATTGTGGTACATCATCATCATCATTACCCTTGACCAAGTTTGTGTTAGCCTCTCGGAACTCCAGCCGTGACCTTCCCTTTAATTCCTCCCAGCTCAAATGAAGCATTGTACACATGGATCCTTTCTGAATATTTTCAGTGGGTTAGGAATGTAGCTAGACAACACAATTTTCATGTGCCTGACATAAAGACAATGCAGTTTTGCACTTTCATAAGGATGGTCCACAAGCCCTGCATGGAGCCAATACAGCAGACAAAGCCAGATTCCCTGAACAACTCCGTATCAATGGGGTCTGATAAAGTGTTGTAACCCCATGCGTGTGAGAGGAGCTTCATACACCTGTAGAGGGGTTGACTTAAATTTGCATGGTCCAGACATATACGGCCTTCTACTTATGTGGACACATCACACGCCCGTATAGAGATTTCTGCTAGCATTTCTCGGAAGTAAACACCCCGCCTTAACCATCCCGAACACCAACCACAAAGCCAAGGCACTGGGACTTCGCGGAGCCATACAGCTGCTTGAAATTTTCCTGCTGCCTGGGCTGCCATGTTTTACGGAGCAGGTGGGTTCGGAAATTGAACAATAGAATGTTGTTGATGGGTACTGTTGTAAGTTTCTGCCTAAGCTGTATCAACAACATTCCTGGGGCTATAGATTTGGGTTATCCAACTTCTGCACGGTTAGTTTCAGGCGGGCAACACTGGGGAGTAGCCATCAGCCAGTCCAGCCACCTGCATTGTGGAAAGCTTCTCGCTGAGCTTCTCAATCTCCGCAGTGACCACCCCGCATGAAGTCTTGAGCCTGATCAACAGTCAGGGCTGTTTATATGGTAGCACACATTGAAAAGCCCCCCGTAAAACACCTCACCCAATTAATTGCTACTGCGGCTTAGCAACTTCGTAACCTGTTCAGTCGGTTCAAACTCATTCAACTCATGCTGCAACCCTGCCATCTTAGCCGACCATTTGCCCAAGGTTGTCAACACCATGAGAACGTAGCTAGATGCCAACGCATCTGCGTCGATCTCAGGCCAGCCAATAGCCTTCATGCGCTTTTTGGCCTCTGACACTCGATCGGCACCAGCAACCTCCGCATCATCTCCTGCGTACGAGCATCATGTAGTAAGGGCTACCAGGCTTTAATCGGGATTCCTAAGTATAGAGGGCTTATAGAAAAGGTAGCTGAGACTCCCCAGGGAATGCTCATTTTCAGGGTTTGGTAACAAAGGCTTAAATTTGGTGACCCCATAACCACAATACCTTGTCTTCGTACAAGAACCCTCTTCACACCCACGCAAGGAGGTCCACGTGTGCATGCCATGGGGAGTTGATTTCCTTGTCTATAGGTGCTTACCCTGTCAATACACCTTATATATACTTATAATGAACCAAGTCTACATATATATAGATACACATTTGTAGGTTTGTTACTGACACCAGTCATATAAACCCCACGACTAAACATGGTTCATGCACCCTACACACAATTGCCTCAATTAGGTAGCCCTCTATATATATATGTAGAATATCCACCTTATTTTGAGCCCAACTTCCCACAAATACTTCTATAAGTGAATCTCCCTTGGCACCTTGCGGACCACCATCACCCAAACCCCACATGAGATCTGTGACGTCGAGGTCGTTCTCAGCATCACTCTTCTCTTCGCCTACATCAGAATCCTCTTCCTCATAGATCTCCCGCTTTCGCTTCCTTAACTTGAAAAACCCGTTGTATGTTTCCACATACATGTATCTTGTATATACATAGTAACAAAACTAAATACACAAACCCCATATATATTATGCATATACACACATAAGCCCGGCCCTTACTCAATGAAGAACCATACCAACTTGAACCTTTTATATATATATACATACACATATATATATATACACCTAGCATGTATGTTTATATACGCGTGTATATATATATATATGTATATACATCCCATAAGCGAGTATATCAGCCCTTAACATTAATTGAGTTGTTCATCTATATATATATATATATACGTATAGCACATATATGTACATATACATATATATATATACACATACTATGTATGTACGAATGCTAGTCTAGGCTCAGCATCTTGCCCTCCATGGACTTTTCCATCCAATAAAGCTTGATGTGGGGCTCATACCGATCCCGCCTTAGAACTGAACCAGATTTGAATTGTGCATGCATTTACATGATCCTCCTGTGATGTGGATGCGTGGCTAATTACTAAGAATCCGGCCGCACCCATCCCTTCATCTGACTGCAGCGCGCCATGATGGCCCTCCGGCGAGGTTCCTTGATATTCAGGTCCTTCATGTCATCCTCGGACACGAACTGTCCCGAAACCCAAACCTCTTGCTCACTCTCCCGACGCTTGATCTTCTTGATGGTCCGACGAACAAACGTTTCCTGCAAACAAACTGATGAACATAAGAAAGGGTTGATTTGTTTTCGAGATCACACAGACATATATATACATATACACAGAAGTACTTGTAAGGCAAAACCCCGCAGATTGTAGTCGCAACTCTTCTGGGTCCAGAAACTGATAAGAAAGATGCTACCAAGCCCGTTGCAAATTCTTTCTAGAGCCATTATATGTACCTGGCCTGGCCCATCAAATCACAAAGCCCCACCCATACATCTACATTGTGTATTGCATTCATCGAATTCTTAAAGCCTATCTCCGTACATACTCTATCCATTATCCCCCATGACAGCCTTGTCCAAACCACTGCGAACGAACTCTGCTTCCAGCTCTGGGCGCTTCGCGGAATTGTTGTAGAGGTCCACGACTTCCTTCGGCAGCAAGTAGGAGCCATCCACCCTCGGCTTCATCATTCGAGCCAGTCTCTTCTTGGCATTGGCCTCCGAGACGTCCTGCTGCATGGCTTTCTTCATGGCAAGTGCCACCTGCTTGTCATCCATACACGTTGCCTCCCTATCCTTCGCAGGCTGGCTCTCTTCGGTAGGCTGGCCCCCTGCGGATTCGTCCATCTGATAGGCATCTGCACCCTGTGCGGATTCGTCCATGTGATAGGCCTCTGCACCCTGTGCGGATTCGTTCATCTGATAGGCATCCACACCCTCTGGGGATTCGTCTATCTGATAGGCATCCTCGGAAGCCTCGGGGATCGACTCCTCGAAGTCGTCACTCGCCGTCGGGATCTTGTCAGCGCTCGCCTGGTCGGGATAGAGCTGGGTCGCCAGCTGCTCGGGCTCGTTCGTCGGGGCCGGATCGACCAGGGTGTCCATCTCCTGCATGGGTTTCATTTACTTGGTCGCAACATGATCCCGCGCAAGGAATGCTGCTTGTAGTTTTATAAGGCCATCATGCATGTGTAGCACAAGTCAAGCCACAGGAGTCAAGTCCTCGGGAAGCATCTTTTTCGCATCATCATCGCGATAATCCAATTCTGTTGCTGCAATAGTCGTGGCTGTCATTTGCCGTGTCAAAGCCTTCAATGAGGAGATGGCCGATTAAACTCAACAACCGCTCGAAATTAAAGTCACACATACACACCCTGCGTACATGCACATACAGCATCTTATTTGGACCCCTATATATATATACATTCATATCAGCAAAACTGCCAAACCCACCTAAAGCCCGGACCTGACCCTATAATATATATATATTTATTTATTTATTTATTTAGACCCCACGTATAAGCCCCACATACATTACATACCTTAATTGATACGTACCTATATATACCTATATATATACATATAAAAATTTGCTTTTATATGTATATATATATATACATATATACACTCCCCATGGCACATACCCTATAACTATATATACCACATATATATATATATATACGTATAAAGGTACATAGATACATATATACGTGCATATCGGCCAAAAGGATGTATATACATATATACATGTGTCATGTATATATAAATATATATGGATACACGAACAGATTACACATAAGCCCCCCAATCTATATATATATATGTATATATATGAAACCCTGTCAGAAAAAAACAAACCTATATATAGAGAGAGAGAGAGAGAAACCCTGTGCATGTAGATCACTTCAGCAAACCAAGCCGCAGCACGAAAGGAATCTTCATCCACGTCGTCTTCTGCTGGAAGTGGCACAGGTAGCTGGGCACTAGACTGGGCCGGGGTTGGAACGGGGTTGACGAAGGCTGTAGCGGTTTCTTTGGGCTCAGGCTCCGTGGTAAGATTCTGGGCAGCAGGGCAGGCAAGAGGCGAAACTGAAGGCTTCGTCGTAGGCTGGCAAGGAGCAGCTGCAAGCATTTGCTTGCGCATTGCCTGCCACATCATTTGACATACATGCCAATTTAGACCCTGCATGCAAGAAACTTTTCTTGTAAGTACAGAAGCTCTCGACAGTAGATTTTAAGAGTGCAACAGCTAGATACTGTTCTCGCCTCTAGGGAACTCAGCTCGCTGAGAATGGTAGCTCTGTCCGCACGACAAGGCCGCCTCCATAAGGCTTCCTGTAGGGTTTGCTCCCCATCATTCAAGGTAGCACTGCTGTCGATTTTCGACAGCATGTTCCGCATAATCACAGCTTTGCAGGTGTACACTGCTAGAAGTGTTGCAGGCAAACGTCTGCACATAAACGGCATGCATGGACGTCAGGCATAAAAGGAAACATGGCAGCCAACTTGTGAGAAGCTCCCACACATGCAGACCCTATAAATGTAACGTTTTTTTGGCTTGCTTCTGCCAAGGTCTTTGCACAACCGGATCCAATTACAAATTGGAGGCACCCCTGCTTCCGCAACATGGTTTCCGCGCATAATCTGTACCATATTTGGGTTCAGGGCCTTTGTATAAGGATGGGTGCACGTATATACAGGCAGCTCTTTGAAACCCTGAATTGAAAGGACTCTACGAAAATTAGCTTGGGCAGCAATTCAGTTCCTTTGGAGGAATCTCCTGATTATTTATTATAAAGGGGTTTATATATGTATAGGTCTGACAAGGGCTTCTATATATATATATATATATATAAATGTGCATTTGTTTCTTTGGATCAGGACGAAGTGGTTTTGATATAATGTCAATCCTATATGATCTTTTCTAAAAGGGGTTGTATATATAGGTTTGGCAAGGGCTTATACACATACATAACATTGATTTTTTTGCTTGAGCAAGGGGTTTAGACTGACACCTATATATATATATTTATGTGCGCTATATATATGTATATATATGTATATATATATATGGGCTTTCAAAGGTAGAGATGTATGAAGTATATATGCGCATATAGCAAATATATCTGTATACACATGCGGAGATTCTTTATATATATATATGCATGCGTGAGGCTTCCCTATATCTGTCAGGATCCATGAAACAAATCACTTTCACTTTCACGTTCACATCCGCGCTGAGGCACACAGGCTTCATAAATGATTTGACCAAATTATTTATGAATTCAGTTAGGCCCTATACATTATGTAGCCAGAGCAGGAAATTCATAATTAATTTGATCAAATCTTTCATGAAGCAGCCCATGCCCAAAACTAATCAAATCAAAGGAATTACCACAAATGATTCGTGTATATAAGCTCCCAACAACAACCCGGAGAGCAAAGATGGATAGCTCATGAAACATTTGATCAAATGTTTTATGAATTAACCCGCCTTCGGATAAGGAAAATCATTATTGCACCAAACCGCATGCAAAGACAGGCATATCCTTATAATTCATATCACATTTGGTCAGGGTTCATTCCCAAGAAATAGGAAAAGGATCCAGCACATGCAACAAATTCATGAATGATTTGATCAAATCATTCATGAAGTCACTTTGGATCATTTGCTGTTGTGAAGACATTCAGACCAGCATTCAAACTGCTTCATTAATATGATTTGCTCAGAACTTAAAAGGTAATAACATGCATGCAGATATGTATATAGGATAGAACATCAACCCAATGTCATTGATCCATCAAGCAAAAGCTTGTACTGGTGAGCTAGGTTTGTATATTTTGCTGTTACTTCACTTTTTACACATCCAGTAATTCATGAATAATTTGATCAAATCCTGTGTCAATTAAGTCATCAAAATCGCCACCGGACAGAACCGCGTGAAACCCGGGCAAATCCGCCTGCAGACCGGGCAAATCCGCCTTTGGTTTTTTACCGGATTTGAATAAAGCATTAATTCATGGGTTTTTTGAATTAACTCCCCTCTTTATAGGCTAGAATTGTACAACTCTCATAAATGTAAAACTTCGATATATATCTAAATACATATATATATATAGGGTTGATAATTGTATAAAGTATTAATCTATGTATACATATAATGTATGTATATTCATAATATAATGTATGTATATACATATATATCTATATTTGCAAACTAATATAGATATCTATGTACAGGCTTGTATATATAAATGAATGTATATACTTAAAAGAATGTAATTATCTTATATCTACATGTATATATATAATATTACTTGGGTTTGCAGGCGCATGTGTATATGTATATATATGTATATAGGGGGATAGACGCACATGTTTTCGTATATATGCACATCCCAAGTACAAACCCCATGCAAACCCATGCACCTTATATGGGAAAACTTCGCGCAATCCATGCTGCTGCAGCAGGTAGCATCCCGAGATGAAGCTCCAGACAAGGAGCTGATGCAGGTTCATTGATTTCTTTCGTTAAAGGGCGCGGGGAAGCTTCCAAATACAGGTTTAACAAGATGAGGTTTGCAAATATTTTTTGACAGGAAATAAGCTAGAGGCGATAATCTTACAAGAAAGCATCGCAATGTTCCCTGCAAGCTGCGTTATAAGAACCCCATGTGCCATATGCATTGCAGGGCTTATACAAAGGTTGAAAGGCCTTCCCTCTAATCCTTCTAAACGCTGTATATGTATACATATAAAGATATATAGCCTATACGTGTATATAAACCCTATATATACGGATATATATATATGTATACCCTATAAGCCTTACAAACTTTTTTGTTAAGGGTTCGTATACAGACATACTCACACGGGTGCTGGGGATTTGAATTTATATATATATATAGATATATAGGGTTTATAAAGGGTCTTTCTCAAGAGATACACAGGGTTTTCCTAGGATCGGGCACATCTACAGCTCCTTCGGAATTCTCGAGTACCACTCAGGAGGGATCGAGAGCTTCTTAGAGGTGCGAGCATATCGGACCACATCTATCAGGTCACAATCGTACCACAAGTCATCCATCTCAGGAGCTTCGTCCCACAATTGGAGTAGTGGTTTGGAGGAAACCTTGGCCGGTAGTTGTATAGGCTTTGATTAATCTTCACAGGGGCAAGGTTTCGGAGGTTTTGGAGGGCTCAGACCTTGATCGGATTATGTAGAGTGCTGCAGCTTGATTGTCTGCATTCTGATCACAGCGCCTAGACGACAATATTGGGGGCAGGAGAAGCCTGCAATTGCTCAATGCAGCCTACCGCGACCCTCAAAGCCTTGCAAATTGCAAACCTTGGCGACTGGCGCTTGATTCGGGGAAGAATGGCAGCTACCCAAAGTGATCAACATTCTGCAGTGCCTACAGGGCTCTCTCTCTGAAGCCTTGGCCAATTCCCACATAACTTTCTTTAATTACCTGACAAAGAATCCCTTGTGTAATGCAGGGTTTATATATGTATTATATATAGGGTTCCTCTATATATATATAGGATTCATAGGATGAAGCCCTGATGGAGCCCATGGATCCCAACATTGATTGCTCGAAACATGTATAGACATCCCCACAACTTCAAGCAACGCACTTCCCACCATGTAGCCACCTCCGAAAACATTAATCAAATCACTCTCCTTCAACCCCATATATAGGGTTTAGGGTTTATAGGGGTTTATATATTTTAGACTTTATAGGGTTTATATATATATATAGGGTTTATATATATATATCTATATAGGGGTTAGGGTTTATAGGGTTTATATATATATATAGGGTTTATATGGGTTTATAGGGTTTATAGGGTTTATATATATATATAGGGTTTATACATATATCTGGAGCCCCATAACCCCAAAACAGCTCTATATACATATATATATATATACACATACACACATATATGAGCCCCATATATATATATGATAACATATAGACCTATTATATTCAACCCTTGCACATGACACCATGACGCAGGAGATTCGCACCTGCGAGTTTGATCCACCAGGCTAGCAGCTTCAGTTGCTTCAGTAGTGGGATCGCGTTAGATATAATGAAGTGGTGACAAGTCATGTATAGGGCAAATTCTGCATCTGGTTTTCAGCTCATACTGAACTGTTAGTGAACTGCTAGAATGTCACAACGCAGTGGAAGAGCATTTACGTACATCGGGTTGGGATGGGCTTCATACCCAGACGTGTCAAAAAGACTTTGAAAAGTATACTATGTGCTCTATACATTGTAAACCCTATATAGATATATATGGGTTTATATATATATAAACCTACATATATATACAACTAGAAACCCCATAATTATAAAATATATGAACCCAATAATAAACCCTTTGTAGACCCCTGGGTCTGATTGGCACGTCCAGGTACACAGCTTAGGGCGAAATAAAGGGTTGAGGATTTGGACTTTGGGTGCAGTTATAGGAATTATGTGTGTGTACAGCACATACAAGGGTGTTCCGCCTTTGAAATCTGGGAAGCCTAGTAGGTACACCCTGTACACATGTCTACAAACACTTGCGTGTTTAGGGCATGGCATCCAAAACCACCACCAGGTAGAAGGCCTTCGATCTATAGAGGTTTCAATGTACAGGGTCCGGTTCATAAACCTTATTCACAGAAAGCCCTATATATATATAGACACATATATATATATATCCCTGAAGCCCCACCCTTTAAGGGTTTAGGTTTATATATATAGGGCGTATATATACAGAGGGCTTATACAGTAAGTTTATATGGGGTCTATATACATACATATATGTTTGTATATAGGTTTTATAGGAATGGGATTATACACATTTCGGGTTCAGGGTTTGTGGGTTTACATACATGAAAAGTTGCGCAAGTGCGCATCGCTGTTCGCCAAGCAAGCCCGATCAACAACTTTCTGCCACAATTTGAAAGAACCGAATCTATAATCATAGGTGCTGCTATACTTAGGAACATACGGGGCCTGAATACTTCGATGTAGCCTTGTGTTAACACTCCTCCCAAGCCCAGGACTGGATCCCTTTCCTTTGCTTAAGGCGCACAAAGAACGTATTGGGTGCCACTACATGTAATTCCTATATATATGTAGATGCCCCACATATATACATACATACACACACACAAGCCCCGTTGCCCTATAAACCCTATATATATATATTCATATGACCCTATAATATACATATGTATCTAAGCCCCATAAACCCTATATATATATACATATATATGATAGTTATAACCTGGTAAACACCCTATTGTTTAAACATCTAGATATATACCCTGAACATATACCCAATACATCTAATCCCAGGCTTGACACGTTCAGGTCCAGGATTCTGGTGTCCAGCATCTCCGGCAGCATTGCGACGAAGTGTCTTGCGTAGCGGTACGTGTAGACCCTGGGCTCAGAGAGGTCAAAGGTGTTAGATTTTTGCAAACTAAGGGGTTCACGAATCAAGGGACTTACACGGGAACCTGCTGGCCTTGTGTACTGCAACCAAGTTTCTGTGTCGGTTTCAGATTCGAATTCACAGTCCAAGTGCTCTTACCGTTTTTCTCTCCTTTTTTTGTGGTACTGATGGTAGTCTCCCTTTCCGAAGGAGTCATGGGCCCCAGATCAAGTTGATGGATAGCGTTTGAACACGACCACAGCCAGGTACGCTTCCAGGTAAAAGACTGGAATTTTCTCATCCACATTGAAACTTTGTAAGTCTTGGCTGCAAGAAAAACCATGGGTTCACACATCAGACTTATAATCAAGTTGCATGTGACGCGAAACTGCAAAAGTTTCCCAAGAACCAAGAAGCTGTCACACCCACTGACTGCAGAATCTTCACGAAATGAACATATCTCTCATGAAGAGCAAGCAAAGAATTTTGTGGGTTCTCTAGCACGTAGACACCCCCGGCCGCCAGAATGTAGTACAGGAGGATCACCGTCCTAGCAGCAGCTTATACAACACTTATCCCAAGGCATAATCAGATTGTACCCAGAATCATACTAGCCCGTATCTACATAGCTACATAACATGCTTTCAAATGATCTTTGGGAAGTCGATCCTCGCCATCATTTTGTTAGCTCGGCGAACAGATGGCATCTGTTCATCACCGTGCGGCACCAGAAAATCACGTTTGGACGTGCCCCTGTTTATTGGTATCCACGAACTGCAACACACTCCAAGGGCTGCCACCATCCCATCCAATCTGCTGCGTAATATAAGAGATATGGCCAATCTTAGAAGATGAAGAAGCCCCAACAACGTCGCATGTTAGTTATAGGGTACACCTCTTAAAACAAACAAAGGTTACAAAGGCACACGCTAGCTGTTAATTCAGAATGCAAGTGACATCATACCAGCGTTTCCATTGACGTCCATCGAAGACCTGGAACCCCGTTTGTAGGCTCGAGCATCCCCGAACCTCTTATCGTAGGCCTGCGACTTGTACCCTGCTGCTTCTGCAAGCTGAGCGAGTCGCGCTCGGCCCGCATAGAAATCCAGTAGTTGGTAGTCGCAATCATCACTTAAGTTGAGCCACGACACCAAGAGCACAAGCAGGATCAGCACCTAGGATGGGCAAAGGGTTGACTTTCTAAGACGAGCAAATTAAGGGTTGACTTTGTAAGACGAGCAAAGGGTTCACTTTACCTGGAGACCCGTTCCCAGCAGGATTTGCGCCTGGGCACAAATTTCGGCCGGGAACAATTGCTTAAAACAAAGGCGCGACACTTTTTTGCGCCCAGGA